ACAGCTAGTTCGGATTAGAAGGAGTACACGAGGAGTACAGCTAGTTCGGATTAGAAGGAGTACACGAGGAGTACACGAGGAGTACAGCTAGTTCGGATTAGAAGGAGGAAGGAGAAAAATCGTCACAAGGAGGAAGGAGAAAATTTGTTCCTCTTGGTTTCTGAGGACAGGACAAGGAGTAATGGGCTTAAAGTGCAGCAGGGGAGGTTTAGATTGGACATTAGGAAAAAATTCCTAACTGTCAGGGTGGTCAAATATTGGAATAAATTGCCAAGGGAGGTGGTGGAATCTCCCTCTCTGGAGATATTTAAGAACAGGTTAGATAGACATCTGTCAGGGATGGCGCAGACGGAGCTTGGTCCCGCCTTGAGGGATATATATATATATATATCTTGGTTTCTGTTATTTCCACTCCAACTCATCTGACAAAGTGGGCTTTGCCTATGAAAGCTCATGATTCTATATATTTTTGTTAGTCCCTAAAGTGCCACTTGTTATTTTTAAAGTTACAGACTAACATGTCCATCCCTCTGAGACAATTAGATATAGATGCTGAGGATTTAAACTCAGTTTCTATATATATATATATATCTTGGTTTCTGTTATTTCCACTCCAACTCATCTGACAAAGTGGGCTTTGCCTATGAAAGCTCATGATTCTATATATTTTTGTTAGTCCCTAAAGTGCCACTTGTTATTTTTAAAGTTACAGACTAACATGTCCATCCCTCTGAGACAATTAGATATAGATGCTGAGGATTTAAACTCAGTTTCTTTCTGTCACTAAATGTAACATCATGTCTTACTCCAGAAAAGAAAATGGAGAAATGGTCCTTGAATCTCCCACGGGCCTGTTAAACTCAAAGGTCTGCTGTTAAACACATAAAAAATAGGACAGAAGGTCTACAGAACAGAAAATAGTATCATAAAACTTAGACGGTACCACAAGGGTCAACTAATAGAACCCTTGCAAAGATGCGGGATTTGCTGTGTCCAAACAATCCAAGAGAGACAGCTATCAAGATGCCCTTTGAAAACCTTCAAGTGAAGGAGCTTCCCCAACCTCCCAAGGCAGGCTGCTCCATTGTCCTACTGCTGGCAGTTAAGAAGTTTTTCCTGAGATTTAATCTAAATCGGCTATTCTGTAGAATCATAGAATCAGAAGGTTGGAAGGGACCACAAAAGTCATCTAGCTAACTCCCTGCCAAGATGGATGGTTTAAATGCAACAAATCCAACAAAGCAGATGGCTGTCCAGACTCTTTTTGAAAGCCTCCAGTGAAGAAGCATCCAGTGTCTCCCAAAGCCGTCTGTTCCATTATCCTACTGTTCTTTACAGGTAATAATTTTTTCCTGAGATTTAATCTAAATCTGCTATGCTGCAGTTTGAACCCACTCCCTCTTTTCCTGCCTCTTTGGCAAAAGAGAACAAATTTTCTCTCTCTCTTTCATGGCAGCATGTGAGGGGGTCTGCCCCTCACTACCAGAAAAGGGATTAAAAGCAGTCTTAGGGTGACTGTGCCAAAGACAGTCAGTTAGGCCGTGTCCAGACTCAAGCCGCGTTCTTTCGAAATTATTTCGAAAGAACGCGACTTTTCTTTCGATGGCGGTAAACCTCAATTTACAAGGAAGAATGCCTTCTTTCGAAAGTTCCTCTTTCGAAAGAAGGCATTCTTCAATGTAAATAGGGCTTCTTCAAAAGAGAGCATCCAGACTCGCTGGGTGCTCTCTTTCGAAAAAGCGGATTGCTCTTTCGAAAGATCCGCCTGCAGTCTAGACGCGATCTTTCGAAAGAGGCTCTTTCGAAAGATGCTTTCAAAAGAGCCTCTTTCGAAAAAAGCCTGCAGTCTAGACATAGCCTTAGAAAGGGGCTGAGAGGAGTGGTCAACCATAGCCCAGCAGGCTCATATAACAAGGGCAGCTGGGCAGAGGGGAGTTCAATAGCTGACTGGAGCTTGTGGAGAGAAGACCAGGCTCCTAGAAGGAGAAAGGATAATTCACTATTGCAAGCAGGGACCAGGGGAGCTAGAAAGAGCTCCTCATGGGCTGCTGAAGCCTGCAGGCTGAGGCTCTGAAAGGGCAGAAAAGGGTGCCGGGAAGTATGGGAACCAGCCTGAGGGCAAAGGACTGTAATTACCACTAGGGAGTGGCTGGATTGAGATTGCAGGTCCCCTGGAAGGGACAAATGCAGAGTGTGGCCCTGCCTGACAGCAGTGTCACTGAAGAGGATGCTATACAGTGCAGGGAGTGGCATGGTTATTTGACTGAAAGTGAGGGCAGTGAGGCACCACCAGAAGAGGGCGCCCTGGTGAGCAGAGCTAATTTCCATAACCGCCAGCAACAGGCACCAGAGTGATGAGTCCCCCCCACATCACACCGCCTTTCAAGATTTAAAGACCACTGTTATGTCCCCATCTCACTCTCCTGTTTTCCAGACTAAACACACTCAGTTCCTTTAGCCTTTGCTCATATGGCTTGCTTTCTATACCTTTGATGATCTTTGTTACTTGCCTCTGGCAGTTTTTCTGCATCTTTTCTATATATTCGTCACCAAAATTAGACACAGTACTCCAGCCTAGGCCTAGCTAATGTTGAGTAAACCTGTACTATCTCCTCCCATGATCTGTGCTATGTAACCTACAATTGCATTGTTTAGCAATAGTATTGAATTGCTGACTCATGTTGGGAGTTGTAGTGGATCACAACTTCAGATCATTCTCAGCAGAACTGCTGCCAAACCAGCTTTCCCTCATTCTGTATTTGTTCAGGTCATTTGATTTTTTTAGTGCAGCAACTTATAATTACCTTTATTACATTTTATTTTATTATCTATAGCCCAGTTCTCCAGTTTATCAAGATCCCTATGAATTTTAGCTCTCTCCTTCAAAGTGTTGGCAACATTCTCCACTAGCTTTGGGTAATCTGCAGATTTGATAGGTATGCTCTCTATTCCTACCTGGTCATTAATAAAGATATTAAACAACACCAGATCTAGAACAGATCCCTGTGGAAGCTCACTTAAGACCTCCCTACATTCTGACATCATTGCATTAATAGTTACTCTTTGTTTGCAGTTGTTTAATTTGTGTGTCTAATTAGCGATAGTTCTGCAGAGCCCACATTTCTCCAGTTTATTATCAGAATGTTTATGTGGGACTGTGTCATACGTCTTGTTGAAGTGCAGGTATATTATATACACTCATTCCCTCTATTCACCAAATCAGATACCCTATCAAAGAAGGAAATCAAGCAGGTTTGTCATGATTTGTTCTTGGTAAATCCATGCTAGGTGCTCATGCTTATGCCTTTATCCTCCAAGTATTCACAAACTGAATGGTTTATACATTGCTTTATTACCGTCCCAGGTATTGAAGTAAGGCAGACTGGTTTATAGTTCCCAGACTCCTCCATTTTCCCCTTTGTAAAGATGGATACTATGTTAGCCTTTCTCCATGACCATTCCTGTCATCCATGAGTTGGCAAATATTATTCCCAGTGGTTCTGAGATTTCTTCAGCTAATTCCTTCAATACCCTCAGGTGAAAAACATTAGGCCCCGGTGATTTGAATTCATTCTAATTGGTCAGAATATCTCTGTGGCGTTCTTTGTTTATCCCAATCTGCATCCCTTTTCCTTTATTGCCTTATGGTAATTCCACTGTTTGTCTGGTCATGTTATTTTTTCTGAGATGACTGAGACAAAGTCAGCATTGAGCAACTCCACCAGGATTGTTGGATCAAGAGGAAACCTTCCAGTATTCAAATCTAACCCCATGGCTGTGTCCAGACTCAGGGTTTTTTCGGGAAAAGTAGCCTTTTTCCGAAAAAACTACACCTGCGTCTAGACTGCAGCAGCGTTCTTTCGAAATTAAATTGAAAGAACGCGGCTTTTCTTTCGACGGTGGTAAACCTCATTTCACGAGGAAGAACGCCTTCTTTCGAAAGTGCTTCTTTCAAAAGAAGGCGTTCTTGAATGTAAATAGGGCTTCTTCGAAAGAGAGCATCCAGACTCACTGGGTGCTTTCTTTCGAAAAAGCGGCTTGCTCTTTCGAAAGTTCCGCATGCAGTCTAGACACTCTCTTTCGAAAGAGTCTCTTTCGAAAGTATCTTTCCAAAGAGCCTCTTTCGAAAGAGTCTCTTTCGAAAGAGCCTCTTTCGAAAGAGGCTTGCAGTCTAGACATAGCCCTAGTGGGAAAGCTGTAAAGAACTTTCAACTAAGAGCCACAAGGACTTGAACTAAGAAAGCCTGATAGTAGGACAAAGATTTATCTGAGCCCAGAGAAGGGCTAAAGGAGTTGTGAATTTAAAGGAACTTAACTGCTTATACATGGAAAGGCAAAAGGGCCAGTTTATATTTATTTTGTGTTATGGGTAATACAGACCAGTCCTCACAAGTGGGAATGATATTTGAAATACCTGGGTGCATGAGATTCCAGAGGTCAATTGTTTAAGGGTCAGCTGCTACTTCAATCAGCCAGTTCATCAAGCCAAGTTCCATGAGTTTGGGTGGCACAAGGTATCATTAACTAGTACAAAAACAGGGTTGTACAGTTAAATCAAATGCAAACCTCTGTATTTTATTATGTGGAATTGAGACAAAAGATAAACACTTGACAGTTGCCACAGTATTAGGTATAAATATTAATATAGGCCTAGATGTTATTTAAAATGTGAGAGAAGGCTCTAAAATACAACTACTGAAGCACTGAAGAAAACAGTGGTAATTGAACTAGTGAAAAAAATCATAATGAGGTTTGAGACCTAAATCGTTCCCTGTGCAGCATCAGTGTCCATGGGGGTCCTCCAGCCACAAGAGGAGGAGATGCAACCCAGAGTTCTGAGGGCCCATTCTGTGGGATGCTGAGTACTTCCTGCCAGATGCCAAGTACTTTTAGCCAGAGTTGAAGTTATCCTGAATCTGACAGGACCTCAGAGGATCTAATTCTTAGGGTACGTACAGAAAGTTCATTTTGGGTGCTCACACTGTTCCTGATGAGAGGGGCAGAGAAGTGTGCTGCCCCTTTCTATCATGAGAAATCTTGTCTTGAGCAGCAGGATGCCTGCAGAGGATCCCTCGTCCACCATACTGAATGGACCAAAGTAGGGTTTGGTCTTTATATAACTGTCAGACCCTGACAGCTTATCTATTTTACACCTAATTTGGCCCATGGAGACCAAAACTGTACCTTGTAACTCAGTCTCTTGCTTACCATCAGGGAGGGGATGGAAATGTTTCAGAGGAGAACTGACTGCATAATAAAAAAGAGCTAGAATTCTCTCAGACTTGAGGAGCTCTAAACTGTACATAAAAGGGACAAACAAATGGTTACAATACTGGGAAAGTCAAAGCCTGGGCCCAGATCAGATAAGCACTAGCTTTCCTTGAGGAAATAAAGAAAAAAAGACTGATTCTGCCAAGAGTTTCTCCATCACAAATCCTTGCTCTCACATAGATTTCCAGCGAAGTATGGAATAATAACTGCTTGTAAGAATCAGGCAAAAAATCAGAAAAAGAGAAAAACTTCATAAACTAATAATTATATACAAAACAGAACTTGCTGGGGGCACTGGGCTCCTTCACCTTCCACTGAGTGAAGTGGGAGTTGAAGAGGGCTCCCAAATACATGCAGGATGGGTGACTTTTGAGAAACATGTACACCTGACATTTGAAAATCCCTGTTCTAAATGTAAGTTCACACAAACATTAAAGCACAAGACAGAGTCAAGGTTATTTCTTCAAACTGACAAAGGATTAATAATGGTGATTAATAGTTCAGAAAATAGGAGAAAGGTAAACATTTCAGAATTCAGCAAGAATTTCTAGCTACATTGTACTGTATTTTCATGCATATCATAAAAGCACACAGGTAAAATAGAGTTTTTAACAAAAAATCAAAGCATTTATAAAATTGGTTGATAATTTTCCACCCTTTCCAGAAGTGCATCAGAATATCCAGGAGAATAATACCTGAAAAAGAAACATTTTGTCTTATATTAGACAATATTACTCTAAATATTGAAACTATATTAATATCTAGTGTATTTATTAGAAAAATTGCTAGACTCAAACTTTGAGTAAACCTCACGCACTTCTGTAATTATCCACCTGTAATCCTTTAAGAGATTGCTTCTGTACTACATTTCATCTTGTGTCATCGTTTATCCTGAGAGAAATGACTGTAAAATGCCATCATTGAGACCGACAGGAACAGATTTTCAGAACTGCTCAGTATTCAGCTGGAGTCAGATTTTCAAAAAGAGCTCAGCTCAAAATTAGGCACTTAAAGAAAGTGGCCATCTTTCAAGAGGGCACAGCACCCAACAGTGTGCTTCTCAATAGGAGCTGCTGGGTGCTGAGCTTTTGAGAAACCCTGGCCCTTTATGCAAAGCATTAGTTTCCATAGTGTGACTGTCACAGCACAATGGTTTACTGCTGCCAGAGAATGCAAGTGTATGTGTAGAAGACGACTGCAAAGACAAAAAGTTGATTACTGTATAACAATAGTAACAGTGAGCTTTATCAATGTTTTATGGCGATGATTTTATTTCTGTAATTCTAAATGGCTGATGGAAATTATATTATTCAAGAGGTTTTGATTAGAGTAGAAATTCACTGTACCTTTACTAATCTGATGCATTCTGATGAACTTTGAGAACAGACCAATGGTGTGCCTCAAGTAATCAGAGGTCTTTTTTTTTCTTAAGTAGGCTGTCCTTTTCTGAATAAGCTTGCTTCTGACCGGCTGAAGAGTTTTTGCTTTTTAAACTAAACTATATCATTTAGTTAAAGGTTTATTGGTGACAATTCACGACATCTTTCCAACCTAGCATATTACATTTTAGTTCATGGTTTGACATAGACACTAGAATTTGTCTGCATTGAGATTTTTAATAAATATGTGTAGTTTAGACTTCATAGAAGCCACATTTTAAAATTTGTGTACATTTTTATGTACATCTGATGTAAACCCACACATTCCCCAGCATGTGCACAAATCAGGGGGTATGCCAATACCCAGCTGTGTATGCAAAATCTCACTTATGTACTCCAGGGTATTTACATGTCTAAGTCAGATGTACAGTTGTATGCTCCCTTGTTTGCAAATTAAGCCCTATCTTTATGACCTACAAAACAACAAAGGATCATCGACTTGGTAAGTCATTCATGGAATTTTTAAAAACCTGTATCTGTGGGGTGAAATCACCTAAAATAGTTATTAATTCTGTTAACTTAAAAGGGTCAGATGAGAACTTTATCCTTTATTTACCCACAAATAAAATCATAACAGGGTTTTGAAAGTTCATTGCATACTGATTTCTTTACACAGGACTAGTTGTTTCTATTTCAATTTAGCAAGATAAGATGAAGAAAAACAACATTAAATTTTTCCATTGAAACATTTCTGGAGAATGTCCTTTGTCAGTAGGATTTTTTGAAGACTTGACTATTGTAAATTCCTCAATCCAAAATTGCTCCCTTTTATACAGGCAATCCAAGCTTTAAAAAAACATCTCATGGTTCCTTGATGTTACATGAGTATCAGACATAAGAAAGCTGAATGAAGTTTCAAAATCAACACACAGACCAGGAAAGAAATGAGGAATAGGAGTAGCTATACATACCTTAACACTTCCAAATCATATTATGGTCATCTTATCAGAGAACAACAAATAAGGTTTGAGTAGAGACATAATCAATGTATGTCCAATAGCTATATTTATTCTTAATTCTAAAAGTTATTAAAATTGGAGTCATACCTAAGGCCTTGTCTTTACTAGACCAGGCAGATCAGCTTAGGGTACGCAATGCCAGCTATGCAAAATGTGTACCTGGAGCTGGCTTACCTAAAGCCAAGTTTTGGTGGCATCCACACAGCAGGAGGCCAAAGGGCCACATGTTCCCATCAGCTTTCCTTACTCCTCACAGAATGAGGAGTACTAGACGCTTGTGGCGGCTGCCCTCAGCATTTGATTTAGGGGTCTATACTAGACCTGCTAAATCAAACACTAGAAGAATGACCCCCCAGAGTGTCGATCTTCTCATAAGTGTAGACATGCCCTAAGTATATAAGCAAAATCACTTCAGTGCTACACCTGAAAGAGCCTTCAATTTAGATAAACTGAAGTCTTGCACTGCTAGCTGTCTATCTAGGCTCTTAAACCATACCTAATAACATATCAGAAACTTGTGTTACTGTGTACGTTCCTAAGAAAACACAGGAATACTGTATTTCTAAAGAACCATACCGCCATTATTAAAGATGTATGTTGCACATTTCAGAACACTAAAAGCCTTGACTGGAAGGAGATAGGATTAAGGTTTGTTATAACTGAAACATGTTCAATCAGAAATCCCAAATGCTACCACAGGGAGTTAATAATAAGTGGAATTTTTGCTTGCTCCATTCTCCTCGTTGATTTCTATAAAATGTAAACATTATATAGTTGTTTTATAAATCCATTTTTAGCTTTTGTCAAAATGACTTTCCAAATGCAAACTAACACAGTTGTCTTCCTGAATCTGAAGAGAGACAGCCTGAAATAGCAGTTTTACAGGACAAATCCAGCCCTGATCTCTGCAGCAGCCCCACACAGTGGAACCAGCATGATTCTACTGCACAAATAGGTAGGGGAAGAAGTTTCAAGGGCACATTTTCTTCATTATACCAGAGGCATGTTTCATTGCTTCTCCTAACAAAAAAAGGTAGTTTGTAACAAAAGAAAACATGACTTACAGGCCAAAAAATGTAAATAAATATCTTTTTTATTCTATATTGTTACTCTTTATAGCTTGAAAATGTCTTAATTATTCTTTACCCATATGACAGTCACTGAATTTTCCCTTGCAGAAGCAAATTTGGCTCCATTTCTGTGCAATTGCTAATATGCAGCATCTATTAGCCAGTGATTAATTTGTGCCAGTGCTTGCTAGGGCTGAGCCCTGGCACCTCTAGGCTTGCTAGTTAACAGCTGTGGCACCTCTAGGCTTGCCACATCAGTTATTCAAGTAAAATAAAATGATCTGAGCCTCAGCATTTAATTGCTTGAGCCCCAGCACCTCTTTCATTACAAATTAAGCACTGCTAATAGCTAATAAATGCTGCTTACTATAGCTAAAATTGATTACGCTGATGCAAAGAACCAGTTCAGGGAGAGTAAAAGTACAATATCACATACACACATCCAGTGTGTTGTTGGAGTGAAAAACTGGGAAATGGTTATCAAAATTCAGAACATTTCCCTCCTTATTTTATGCCACAAAATACATTACATGGATTCAAAGGCCTAAATACCCTATGTATGGAGCAGAGACTGCAGCTACGGCTTGCTGATTGGCACAGCATCCTGAAACACAGTGCAGCTCCAGAGACTGCCTGATGGGTATGAGAGTTAATTCTATTCCCTGACTCTGAGGGTATGTCTACACTACAAAGTTAGTTCGAACTAACAGACGTTAGTTCGAACTAACTTTCATAGGCGCTACACTAGCGCTCCGCTAGTTCGAATTTAATTCGAACTAGCGGAGCGCTTAGTTCGAACTAGGAAAACCTCATTGTGCAGCTCCAGAGACTGCCTGATGGGTATGAGAGTTAATTCTATTCCCTGACTCTGAGGGTATGTCTACACTACAAAGTTAGTTCGAACTAACAGACGTTAGTTCGAACTAACTTTCATAGGCGCTACACTAGCGCTCCGCTAGTTCGAATTTAATTCGAACTAGCGGAGCGCTTAGTTCGAACTAGGAAAACCTCATTCTACGAGGATTAAGCCTAGTTCGAACTAGCTAGTTTGAATTAAGGGGTGTGTAGCCCCTTAATTCGAACTAGTGGGAGGCTAGCCCTCCCCAGGTTTCCCTGGTGGCCACTCTGGCCAACACCAGGGAAACTCTAT